ACAGAAAATTCTAAAAATGGTAGAAATGTATTTAATTACTTATTTTTAGTACCCCTCAATCACTTTTATTACAAAAATATAAAATGTACAGACATCTACTATTTACAGTTTTATTATATGTATAGATATTCAATTAAACCACGTGAACTTCTTAAATTATAGTACTTGTTTAAGTAGTTGTAGGTATGATATTGTCATGTCTACAACACATTATTCAAATTAGTATTGAAAAATTGTTTACAATGTTGAATCATAATCTACTTACTCTATGTTCCTGTTCATTTTAATTCCATTTTAAAGGTAAACATTTATGAAATACTTACATTGTAGACACGAGTCATTAACTACACTGACACCTTAACGAACGAGCGAAAATTTGTTTAGCGATATAACTCCACGGGGAGTGATTACTACGGGAAAGATTAAATTTATCTTAAGCTGAAGGAGAATGAGTATTTAATGATAAAATTTGTAAGAAGCTTTTACTGAAGACGGCAATTCCACGGTTTCGTATTTCTTTAGAACCGAACACATTTTAAAAGTCACTTCAATTGAATGTAGTTGCTTTAAAATGCTTTCGGAACGGCCGTAAGTAATACATCACTATGTGTAATACGTTAATGATCTATTGAATGGAACTACTTTCATAACTCTGTTAAAAACAATATTATGTAGTGTACATAATATTGCTTTATTGTATCATAATATGTGTAGTGCTTTTAATTTTTTTATATTTTCTACTTATTTGATGCAACCTCCAATTATCCTCCAAGTATTTTCTCCTAAAATCTATTTACTATATTTTCATCATTCATCATTACAGCCTTTCATAAGTCCACTGCTGAACAAAGACCTCCCCCAAGGAATGCCACAAAGCTCGGTCCTGAGCCACCTGCATCCATCGACTTCCTGCATGTCTTACCAGGTCTTCACTCCATCTCGTGGGGGTCGCCCTACACTTCGCCTACCGGTACGAGGCTGCCACTCAAGTACCTTTCTTCTCCATCGGTTGTCGGTTCTTCGAGCTATATGGCCGGCCCACTGCCACTTCAGCTTACTAATCCGTTGGGCTATGTCGGTAACTCTGGTTCTACTGCGGATATCCTCATTTCTAAGTTTTTCACGCAGAAAAGAGAGAAACCCCAAGCATAGCCCTCTCCATAGCTCGCTGAGCGACCTTGAGTTTCCTCATGCGGCCAGCAGTGAAGGACCACGTCTCAGATCCGTAAGTCATCACTGGCAACACGCACTGGTTGTACAATTTCGTTTTAAGGTTTTGAGGTATGTCTGACGAGAAGATCGGGCCGACCCATTCGTGTTACAACTACATTACTAATATAGTTGTGGCATGGCTCTACCACGTAAAAAAATACGGGAGAGTTTTTCGAAAACTTTGATAGCATGATTTAGCCTTCGGTTTGTTCACAATGTTTTCGCAGATAGCCCCGCCTCATCGCCGCCTATCCCAGACCGATGTTCGTTGGTGTAGACCACGTTGTCGACGAAGGTGCAAGTGGCAAAAGTTGAGTTGAATTTTGTTGCGACAAGACGGCAACTAAACTGCGAAAATGTTGTGAAACAGAGAGGAGTCGTAAAGCTTAGAGCGGTGCCGAATGTTGGAGTGCAGAGAGCAGCTTGAATGAACAAGAAGTTAATAGAATTAGGCGTTACTTTGTGGAAGTCCGCTATATTAAAGTTGGTAAAAAATTACTTCGCGTACATCGGTTAATAATCGATAAATCATAGGCGCATAAATCCGCTCAATATCGAGCGGATGCACGTGAAGTAATTTTTTACCAACTTTAAGAACAAGAAGTTATTTAAATGCAGCGATGAACCTTGAAAAACCCGTGTGATAAGTGTAGCAACTACGGCCAAAGCCCCTTATAAGGTAATTTATGGGGAAGACCTAGGTTCAGTAGCAGACTTTTGATAGGTTGCATGTTAATATTTACTTGCAAATTGATAAAGAAAAAGAAAAAATAGCCGTGAATTTTTGTAGACACTGTCTACTGGACCTAGAAAATAATACTTGTCTGCAGTTTGTAACAATTCAAAAGACAAAGTTCTATTGTTTCAAAATCTTTATTCTATTCGCACTTCTTTTGTTTCTGAGTTACTTATCCATTCGTATTCACTGTGCATCTCAAACGAAGCTAAAACTTTATCCAAGAAGTGTTTATGTATTCGCTATCTTCTTTCAAATGAAATCTGTAAATTTTATTTAGGCAAAGTGCTGGAGTTGTGATTGAAACATTAAATAAAAATAATATTAATTAAGAAAAACTTAAACAACACCCATTGATCATGAGCTGTGAGCATCCCAGATCATAGTCATGAAGTTATTGTACTGTCGTCGGTTCTTAATACGATTGCAGTATTTCAGATTATTCAGTTTCAACATACTACAGAGGGTTATTTTGCAATAACCAGACAAATTTTGCAGATAAGGTACAAAATAAGTAATATAGGCAAATGGTGAAGAAATATCAATTAACAAAAAACCTCAAACATTTTGTCCTTATTCAACCGACTTCAAAAATTCGTCGAGATCTTTTGTTTATTTATGTTAACCGATTACTCGAAGATACCTGAACCGATTTGGAAAACTCTTTTTTTTTTTTGTTTCAAAGCGAGAAAATAAGAGGAATACTTCCCAAATTGTTTCATTTAAATTTTATCGAAATCGGTCGAGCGGTTTTAAAAAACTCAACCCTAAATTATATTTATATTGAAGTCAGTTGTACAAACTTTTTAATTTTACCACTTGTATCTTTTAAATTCAAAAGGCGAGGCAATGCATTACTTTAACTGATTGTCATTCATAAATATCTAACGCCTACTATTTTTTTTTTATAGGATCGGGTGACAAACGGGCACACAGTCCACCTGATGGTAAGTGGTTACTGTGACCCATAGACATCTACATCTATCCTCAACAAAGACTCAAGATGCAGATGCGTTGTCACCCGTGAGGACTAAGATGGAATGCCTCTTTGCCAGTAAAATGGGTCTCCGGTTCTCTACACTCACCATACGAAACACAGCAGCGTTAAGCTGCTATTTTACGCTGGTTTTCTGTGAGAGCGTGGTCCTTCCCCGGTCGAGCCGACCCATTCGTGCTACAACCATAATATAGCTGCAGCATGGCTCTACCACGTTAAAAAAAAAATTTTACTACGCACGCACACATTCGTAAGGGCCGATCGGTCGGGAAAAACGTTGTGAATTGAATCGCACACAGAGAAACGCGCGTAGGCGTAGTTATTGCTCATTTCATATTAGAATTATTTTCAACTCAAAAACTGCAATAACAGTGTATCATTATTTATATATTTGAACCTTAATTAAAATTTGGCTACTCTTTGTAAAATAACCCTGTATAATAAGTATTGTATATAATATTAGCCAGCCAGAGCCATTAACACTTAATGTTACAATCTTGATAGGTCAATTAGAGTTATGCACATACTTCAAACAAAGCACTGCGTAATATAAAATTTATATTTTATATATTTTTTTCCTTTTTTACATAGTGAGTTATTTAATAACTCACTATGTAAAAAGTGACTAACATTTTTTTCATAGATAAGCTTTACATAGGTAGGTACATTTTACATAACTATAGAGTGAATGATAAAATGGTAGACCTTTATTGGCGATAGATGGCGTTACTAGGCAGTTTCTCTCTTCATGTTAATTTCAATACAAAATTAACACCACCACTTATTGAAATACACAAAAGAAAAACACTACTTTAATTTAATAATGCCTATTTTTCCCATAAATTTGTGATGCTTAACTTTACATAGACTCTTAGTGAAAAGATCAGCTGGCATTTATGATGTATTCAAGTATTCGATCCTTACTAACTTTCTTTCAACAGCTTCTCTTATAAAATGAAATTTTACATCTATATGTTTACTCCGCCTATGATACATACTGTTATCAGTTAATTTTTGGGCACTCTGACTATCATTATACAATATTATTGGCTCGACAGTACTATTTTGTTAACAATTAACTCTATAAGTAGATTTTTCAGAAAAATTTCTTCCTTGCCGGCTTCACAGATAGTCATGTATTCAGCTTCTGTGCTGGAGAGCGCCACTGTTTACTGCTTTCTACATTCGTGAGAAACTACACAACCTGAGTACAAGAAACAATATCCAGTAAACGATCTCCTGTCCACAGAATTTGAGCCCCAATCAGCATTTACAAAGCAAATTAGATCTAAATTGTTTTTACATATACCAAACCAAAATCTCTTGTGGCACTTAGATACGAGTATCTCAGAACTCTTTATACATGTTTCCAATGCGTTTCTGAATTACAGTTATTGAACTGGCTTTGGTAACTAACTGAGTATGAGATATCTGGTCTCGTAAGAACGGAAAGATACATGAGATTTCCAATCAATTGTTGATAAGAATTGGTACTAGTCACATTCTTATCTTTTTCTAGTTTTAAATTTACCTCCATAGGGGTCTCTATACCATTACAATTTTGCATGTTAAATTTACACAATAGTTCTTCGATAAACTTTGTCTGATTAACACATAATTAGGCTTTTTGTATAACGACATTCATTCCTAAACACTGCCTTAATTGATTTAAAAGATTTAACTTAAATTTAGAACTTAACTGGGCTTTTAGGTAATCTACTTCTCTGTTACAGTTTGAAAATATGATAAAAGAAAGAAATGAAGAAATACATATTGCCTCTGGACATAGATTTTGACCATAGAATGGGTTGGAAATATCCATGACCAATATTGGTTATATATAACTACACTTGTTAAAATTTATAAATTACCTCACTGAAAAACGTTCAATAATTTGTTGAAATTTTATTCTTCGTTTTATTGGAAAAATATTCAAAAGGAGACGGTCCAAAATTGTATGGATCGTAGGCCTAGTTTTGTACTAGTATGGAGAAGCATAAAAGCAAGTTGAATGCAGTGGAGATGCGATCTCTTCGTAAAATGTGCGGCGTTACCATGGCCGACCGAAAGCGAAACGAAGAGATTCGCAATATGGCAGGTTTGAAAGATGACCTTATCACGAAAATTGATAAGGGCGTGCTTCGGTGGTTTGGGCACGTTGAGCGAATGAGTGAAGACCGAATGGTGAAGAAAATATATAGCACGAAAGTTAATATTAAAAGGTGTCGAGGTAGACCGAGACTAACTTTCGGAGACCATGTGAGCAAATTGCTCGAAGAGGGTAGGGTCAAGAGTACTCGGATACCTAGACGTGCATGTATGAAGAAGATAATGAATCTGAAAGAAGCGAAAGAGGTATGTAAGGATCGTGACACTTGGCGATCTGTTCTCTCTGGCTACCCCGTCAGGGATTGTGCGTGAAGATAAATAAAAATATATAAATATAAAAATATTAAACCACTTTTGATCATTCAAATCCACTAACTTGTCTTAATTTCAGTGGTATTGATATTTCATTCTCAACGTATTGATATTACGTTTTTTGGAATTTAAAATGAGCTGAGAACAAACGCAAATTAAGACCGTATTTAATATTTATTGTGTCAAGTCGACTTGATACCGTTGGATGTTTATATTCGACTTCCATCCGTAAGACTAACATTTAAATGGCGTCTTTCGTACTAATAATATTTTATCTCTATTTTTGGGCAGAAAACCTTCAATTTCTGTTACGAAGCGCTTAGATTTTAATTATCTTCTTAATATTAATGCATATTCTGGTACTATACTAAAGAGTGACAAAGCAAATTTATGTTGCAGAGGTGAACGGCATAGTCGGGAAGGGTCGCCCTAGGCGAAAGTTTATCGACCAAATTGGCGATATATTAAAAATGGGCCAAATCAAGAGTACCTTTAACCGACGAGCGTGTATGCGTAGGTATATGGATGTGGAGGAAGCGAGAGAGGTGTGTCAGGATCGTGCCAAATGGAAGTCCATAATCTCTGCCTACCCCTCTGGGTGACAGGCGTGAGTGTTTATTATGTATATGTATTCTGGTACTGTAATGTTGTACACATATATATTATATACATTTGTTTTAAAAACACCAATATACGCAATGTACGGGCGTAGCAAGGGGAGGAGTGATAGATTTAAGGGGGCGACATTTTAGATACGAAGGTCGGATCCCCTCTAAAATAATTTGAAAGTAAGCTGGTACCGGACATCTTTAATTAAAATATTACAAACACTGTGGCATTGCGAGTTCTAAAAATAGAAATAATCTGCGTACATGCCCTTGACAGGTGAAGAGATAAGTAAAAAAAACATTGTAATGTTTTATTTATTTTAACGCAATACACAAAGACTGCAGAAGACTTTATTTAATTTTAAGATACTTTATACGTGCTAGAGTCATGCTGCAGCTGGCAGTAGCCAATCACCGTCCGGTGGAATGAGTTCGTTTGTCATTTTATTTTATGAAAAATTATTAATACTTTCTGGCGTTACTTTGAGGAAATGTATACATCAGTTTATTTTTTTGCACGGATCTTAATTATTTTTTAAATTTTTGTTAATAAAAAGGGACCTTCAAATTAATATCTTTGACTGAACCGCACAGAGAAAAAAGTTAATGAAATCAGTTTCATAGTGTTTCTTTTAAGATTTTAAAGTCAAAAAATTATTTAATTTTTAAAGAATCTCCGAAGCATATTCTGCAGAATACAATATTACCCTAACGGTAATGTTCACTGTAATGCCAGTACGTAGCGACACCTTGCGATGACGTCATTTCCGGTAACTTTTATTGCAAGCTTAACTTTTATTGTGTACTTAACATAATACAGTCGCAGTTGAGAGATTTTGTATAATGCTATGCTAGCATTAGCCTCAATTAGTTGAAAGGAGGTTTGATGTAAATTGAATTTGCTAATTAGATCTTTTCTCAAATCGAGATAATTAAAATAAAAAAATGGTAAAAGTGGTAAAATAAACAATCCGGAAATTCTGGAATCACTGCGGTTCCTCGTGCCTAATTCTAGGCTGCGACGGGGGCTGAGGGGAGGGTTGCTGGACGTACCAGTTGCTCGTACAAATATCTTAAAGTACGCACCGGTTGTTCGTGCAGCTAGAATGCTTAACATCGTAGCACAACGATTAGACATATTTAATTGTACATTGGCGGAATTCGAGAGGGTGACATTAAACTACTTGTCTTTTTTACATTAGTGGCCACATTGTTGCATTAGGCTCCACTCCTGTAATAACAATCGTGAGTTAGTAAATAAATAAATAAATAAAATTATTCGTTCGAGACTGTATCATGATCTGTATATTTGCAACCTCGTTGATCTACTTGTCGTTCACGTGGATGCTGATTATAAAGTAGTGTACGCTGAATTTGAAAATATAAGCTGTGTACATTGCACGTTAAATTGAATTGTAGCTTAAAAAAAACTATATCCGATAAAACAGAAATATTGGGTGAACAGAAATTGTACAAAATATTAAAGTAAGTTATATAGCGAGAAATTTCCGGCTTGTTAACAACAAAGGATCTCTTCTCATTGACGACAGCGAACAAGTAACAATAGATTCGTACACCAGTCATTTATCTTCATTAAGAAAGATTCTGTCGTTGGTTTAATGCCGTTAAAATAAATTTACACGTAGCGTAGGCTACGCACAGTAAATTAACACAGAGTAATAAGAGTTACAAGTGGTAAAATAAAAAAATTCTTACGAGGTAGAGCCATGCTGCAGCTATATTATGGTTGTAGCACGAATGGGTCGGCTCGAACGGGGAAGGACCACGCTCTCACAGAAAGCCAGCGTAAAATAGCAGCTTAACGCTGCTGTGTTTCGTATGGTGACTGTAGAGAACCGGAGACCCTTTTTATTGGCAAAGAGGCATTCCATCTTAATCCTCACGGGTGACAACGCATCTGCATCTTGAGTCTTTATTGAGGATAGATGTAGATGTCTATGGGTCACAGTAACCACTTAACATCAGGTGGACTGTGTGGTCGTTTGTCACCCGATCCTATAAAAAAAAATTGTACAACCGACTTCAATCTTAGTAAAATGAGAACGTCATCAATGTACTCGAAGTCAATTAAAAACGTGTTATTAAGGATAACTCAGAAACTGCTGCTGAGATCTTGATCAATTGCTTATAGGAGCACGTGAGAAGCACCAGCTTACAAACAAAAAAATCATCAAAATTGGTTCCCTTAGAAAAAAGATCTGAGGTAACACACATTAAAAAAACAGTCGAATTGAGAACCTCCTCCTTTTTTGGAGTCGGTTAAAATACAGCTTACGTTGTTGTTGGGAGTTGAGGTGCTGGGATAAGTGGTGACGGGGATAGTGCACGCAATTGAGGGAGGGCAGGAGTGCCTTAACACTAGATAAGACACATCGTTTTATTTTATTAGCGGGTCTTCGCTAATTAATTTTTAACATTTTTAATTAAACGGCAAGCTTTGCAGGCGGGTTGGCGATCGGAGCATCAGACATTGTAGACATGAGTTATTTACATGTGGTTTAAATGAGATGGTTATACCCTGTTTCTAATCGAGTTAGATCCACGCTGCATCTTTATTACGGTTGCAGTACGAATGGGTCGGATCGACTGGGGTTGGACGCTCTCTACCAGTAATATAGCTGCAGCAAGGCTCTACCGCGTATAGATACTCCCAATCCGTGATTTTGTTCAACTCGATTTTAGACACGGGTTTGTTACAAGGGTATTAAATGAATCAATTTAATTACAGTATCTGTGTTTTTTTTTTATTATTAGAGGCAAGTGCTTTACGACAATCCTCACCTGGTCTAACAGGTGACGAAGCCCTAGATGGTAATTCTCATTGTCTCAGCGTAACTAAATACTTTTCACTCTTGCATTGAAGACACCCGGATTGTTATCGGATAGAAAGATAGTTGCAGGCCAATTATACCGTGCTGCAGGCATAATAGAGTTGCAGAATGGATTTACCACATAATTTTTTAATGAAATTTGAATCGCATCTTCCGATTCTTTAGGTAAAAAATAACATGACCGTTAATCCAAGATTTGTCTGAAAATAATCTATGCCAGCTAGACAGATTCTTTTAGCAATTACCCGTTAGAAACAGTTCTTTGTAAGTGACTACAAACTTTTGATGCGGGAACGTAATACGGCAATTTAACGAGGCGAATGCCCGAAATCTCGTTTACATTACTTTTACTCTTTATATCTTCTTTTTTAAATAGAATTAGGATGACAAACGAGCACACAGTCCAACTAAGGTAACTTGGTAAGTGGAGGTTGTGGTCCATAGACATCTATATCCATCTGGATCCATATACATCTATCCTCGATTAAGAATCAAAATGAAGATGCACGCGACTAAGATAGAATGCCTCGTTTCTAGTGCAAAGTGTCCATACAATACACTGTGAGAGCCTGGTCCTTCCCCGGTCGAAGCTACAACTCTAATATAACTGCAGCATGGCTCTACTGCGTACATGGTAACCAACTATTACTTTCCTCACTTTGCCAGTCGCATGGTGGCGGAGTAAGAATATCGATCACCTTTTTTTATCTCATGAGTGATACGACGGAGGGAAACTGAAACAGAAGATGAACAGCAACATCTGCCTGATAAAAATTGAAAAGAATAAAAATGCGGTTGCCAGTAATATATGATGACATTAGGAAATACAACGAAGTTAGTTTAGAACTCAAAACTCCTACTCGTTTGATTAATATAAATTACAGTGAAAGCAAATAGTTTGAAGCAGTCATTCTACAGGACTTTTATAACGCAGCCGCACAATGAACCACAAGTGACGGCCACTAGACGCGACCACTAGAGGATCAGTCAAGCCACTAGACGCGGCCGCCAATCAGAGGCGCTAGTGGCTAATTGGCGGTCACCAGTTGCCGCCAATCGACAGTACCTTTGACCGAATTTCGGATTTTGTTTCTTGTGGTTCAACGGGAGAAATCTTTTCATTGTGCAACTAAAGCGAGTACGAAGTATAAGACAATTTCGCTTTTAGCCTTTCAATGTAATTCGTGAATTTCATCAATATATTATTTATTGTAAATATAAATCAGATACAGAAAAAAATAAAAATACAATTTAAGCTTAGTGGCTAAGCGATCGCAGTAAATTTCACAGTTCGTGAACATCCCGGTTCCGGAAAATTACATAAAACTCATCATTCATAAAAGGCAGCTACGGTCCAAATTTCATATCTCCACGTCTGGCGGATTCGGTTGTGCGTTGATAGATGAGTTCTCAGACCGTCTTCTCATATATATACCGTCTATATAAATGAACTAGCAATGCCGACCTTCATCGG